GGCCTATTTTCCTTAGCAGAGAGGTCAGTGACTGGGGGCATAGATGTAAAGTGATCAGAAGAGAAATTAAAGAGGGAGGAAGGAAAAAAAAAAAAAAAACTTTTCACCCAGGAGGCTGTAGAGGTCTGGATCACTGCCTGAAAAAGGGTAAATGCAAAACCCTTTAATCCATTTCAAAAGATGTCTGGATATGCACCTCAAGTACTATAACTGCAGGGCTACAGACTAAACACTGGAAAGTGGGATTCGGCTAGGTTTCTCGTCCTGTTTTTCACCCGGTGCAGACATCATGGGTTAAATGAACTTTTCCTGTGCAGTAAACTTTGGGTAAATTATGAAATCAAGACTAAATCTGCTGTGATAATAATGAATATAGCTAGATGTGCTAACAAAATTCTTTCTGCATCGAAGCAAAAGTTGACGATAGCATGATCCTTAGGTAACTGCAGATATCAAGAAAGATCATTCGATGATAGACATTGAAGCTGGTATGCCAAAACAATGCAAAGAGGCTGTCCTTACTTTAATCCTGAGACATGATCCAAGTTTAAACATCCGAGCAATCAGAATTTGCTTCACTAACATAATAGAGAAGGCTCATCATTTGAAATCAACACAATCCAAAAAAAAAAGGAACAAAAACAGAAGTTGCTGGAAAAGCCCAGCAGGTCCGGCAGAATCTGTGAAGATAAAATCAGAGTTAATATTTCAGGTCCAGTGACCCTTCCTCAGAACTGGGACAAGGAGGAGGATTGGAACGGAAATCCCAGAGAGAGGAGCAGAATTTCTTCCAAGTCGATATACCCTGAAAAGATGTGGCAGAGAGTTAAATACTAAATAAAAACCAAAAGAACTGATGCAGAACCAGGGAAGGGTCACCGGATCTGAAACGTTAACTCTGATTTTTTTCTTCACAAATGCTGCTGGACCAGCTGGGCTTTTCCAGCAACTTCTGTTTTTGTTCCTGATTTACAGCATCCGCAGTTCTTTCAGTATTTACAATTCAAAAAATACCTGTGTGTAAAGCAAAGAAATCAATCAAGACGCAAAGCAGATAAGCTGGGCATTATCTCAAATAGGTTTTTGCAAGATCAATTGGCTGCCATGTTTTCTCTACCCAAGTAGCAAATACACACCAGCACACTTCTTTTACTGGAAACATCTCTAGGATAACCAGAGGATATACAAGGCTTCCATAAATTTGATATTTACTCTTAACAATTCAGAGACAATTTCCTTCTCAAAATAGCAATAATGTCACATCAAGCCCTCCCACCAAGCATGGCAATGTTCATGCAGAGATAAAATCATTTTAATAAGCTTGACACACTGTATTACATGACTGCAAAACTATCAAATGATACAAATTGAAAATGTGGGTCAGTTACCTCTTTTAATCCCAGTTCAAGATTGTACAATTTAAAAACAGCTACACCATAATTAGAACATGAGCTAGTATAACTCCAATTTATGTTTAAAAATAATTGCCCACCCCGATTTATTAAAAAGTATTCCTTGCACCAGCAAAAATTGCTATTTTTAATCTCTACAATTGTATCAGTTTGATGCGATTTCTTAGTAATGAACCAGAATGGTCAGAAAAGAAATTAATGCTCCCAATTTACTGGTATTACTGTAGATCGTTTCTTCTAATTAGAGTTTTGAAGCTTTCAAGAAATTAGGAACAATTTATAAATGTAAATAATGAAAATATAAAAAGTGTCAATGACTGGCAAGGCTGATTACAATTCTGAAGGGTCAAAAATATTGAATCATCTAGCAAAATTTAACTAATAAATTAACTGTGTAAATGTACTTTGACAAGCAAAGCCTTATACAACTGTAAAATTCATTGTGCCAGATGCCAAAAACCGTGAGTTCAAATTCATCGAGTCACTAACAATGGGATCATTGAGAAAAATCCCACTATAGTCAAATGCGATGCTTTTGCTTTCAGAATGATTCTTCCATAACAAATCACCTTCTCCATCCACAAAAATAGACAATGTACATTTTTTAAAAGATCTGGTGATACTTGATGCGCGGTTAGTGCATTTGCAGACGACACCAAAATTAGTCGTAGAGTGAAGAAGGGTATCTAAGATTACAAAGAGATCTTGATCAATTGGCCCAATGGGCTAAGGAGTGGCAGATGGAGTTTACTTTGGATAAACAGGAAATATTACATTTTGGTAAAACAAACAAGGGCAGGACTTATACAATTAAAAGTAGGGTCTTGGGTAGTGCTGTAGAACAGAGGGACCAAGGGGTTCATGTACGTAATTTGCAAGTTGTCATATGTAGAAAGGGTGGTTAAAAAGGCAATTAGCACGCTTGCCTTCAGTGCTAAGACCTTTGGGTATAGGAACTGAAAGAACTGCAAATGCTGTAAATCAGGAACAAAAACAGAAGTTGCTGGAAAAGCTCAAGCAGGTCTGGCAGCATCTGTGAAGAAAAAAAAAAATCAGTGTTAACGTTTTGGGTCTGGTGACCCTTCCTCAGAACAGAGGATTTTTTCTTCACAGATGCTGACAGACTTGTTGAGCTTTTCCAGCAACTTCTGTTTTTGTTCTTTGAGTATAGGAGTTGGGACATCATGTTGAGGGTGTAAGGATGTTGGCAAGACCTCTTCAGGAATACTGTGTCCAGTTCTGCTGTATTAAGCTTGACATTTAAAGGACACTTAGATAAGTACATGAATAAGAAATGTTTGGAAGGATATGGGTCAAATGCAGGGAGGTAGGAATAGTTTACTTTGGGATTATGGTCAGCATGGGCTTGTCAGACCAAAGGATTGTTTCCATGTTGTATGACTATGACACTCTGCATGTGATCCTTAAATGACTGATTGATCCATAATTCAGAAGACTGAACTATGGATGGTAGACCCCCAAGGATGATTACAATGTAGGAATTAATGAGATCCCAGAGTAATAGTTACATTCTTCATGCAAACCATCAGGACAATTCCATATATTACCAATTCGTAACTTCATTCCATTCCAACCATTGTCAAAGACATATACAAAAATCCCTGCAGGAAATTAATGGTCAGCATAATTTTACAGTAGAAAATTACTGTAGGCTTTTGTTTTTGTCTATGCAGACTAGTACCACATTGAACTTAATCTTCTTGGGGTCTGTGGTTTTCACTGATTTATTCGAACCTTTCTATTCTAGAGCTTGGCTGATAGGCATATCAAAATTTTACAATGTTTTATTTCGGCTGCTGCTGTCACTTAATGGTGCTCTATATGTGGTACTGTCTGATGAACTGTTGGAAATCAGCGACTAAGGCATCAAGGTATTTTGCTAGTCTCCGAACAACCTTGGATCTCCTGCCACAACATTAGACTGTTTTGTTCCATGAGCTGGTTACAACTAGTTGTCTTCCTGAAATCTCTGCGAAACTCTGGATTTGATTTGACCCATGTAACTGCATTGTATATGCAGTGCACTTCAACAATGTAACAACTGAACATTTGAGGAACCATGCTAACACATGCTTTACAAGGTCACTCCAGTGGATGGTCTTAATTCTGATGGCACATTTGTTCTGGACACTTTCCTTCTTCCATTCTCACCAGTTTCTTTTTAAATTAAAATCAAATTCCTTCACTGCAGATATTTGACAAGTTATCAAGTGTTACAGTTGCAACTTGGAAAACAACTTCATTCACAACTGTTTTACTGGAGGACCGATTTCTGTTTGCCACCTACCAGGCCATGCAGAGTCTGTTGTGTGCGCATTTCTTAATCCCATGTAGCTACTTTATAACGCAGCCTCCATCACCTGCTTGATCCCATGTACCCAAAAAAGGCAAGGAAAATGGGCATTTCTGGGGTGAAAAATTGTGCCTAATTAATTGTAGTATTGCATTTTGTAGTGGGGAGGTTGGGGGACAGGGGGGAGTGAGTGGAAAAAATTCCTTTAGAAAAAACTTGGTGCATCAAGTATATGCAAATTTGACTTTTGGTACCAAAATATTAATGTTTTATATACTGCAATCTATGGTATATTTTTAAAAAGCTCCACTGCTCGCAGACTGCAAAAACACGGCTTAGTGTCAATAATTTCTCTGTTACAGCAAACCCAATCTCAAGGTATGACAGGAGAAGTACAAACATCCAAATCAAACATAACCATCTTGCTCTCATTTTTAAGCAGCCAATCGTACAGTAACATTAGCAAAAGAGTGGGAGCAGATCATGTGTACCCAAGAGGCCACAGAGACTGCATGGCACAAGATGATAACTTTATTTTGGAGGGGTGCGAAATAGAATCAATTACATAGACACTATGTAGCACCTTCAAAAATGATATAAAAACTAAGCATTTCAGCAAATATTCAAAGAAGTATTATAATTAAAAAATGCAATCCCTGTCAGGCAGGTTTTATTGGATATACACAAAAGATGTAAAAGGATAACAAATTTGGTGGCCACAACACAATTTGCATACAGGAAAAATAATTCACTCAATCCTCTCAAGCTGAGAAACCTTAGACTGTAAGCACAATAACTGTCAAGTCTAACAAAAACAAAGTCACTGGAAAAGCTCAGCAGGTCTGGCAGAATCTGTGGAGGAGAAAACAGAGTTAACGTTTCGGGTCCGGTGACCCTTCCTCAGAACCGATGGTGGCTGGGAAAACGTCAGTTTATATGCAGAAAATAGGGAGGTGGGTGGGGTAGGGAGTACCTATATTCTGCACAGGTAGCCATGAAGGGGATTTGTGGTTACTGTAATAACTGATTTCACAATCAGTAAGTGTTCAGCTCACCGGAATGTACCTTGACTGTATCTGCAATAGTTCTGAGGGAGGGTCACCGGACCGGAGACATTAACTCTGTTTTCTCCTCCACTGATGCTGCCAGACCTACTGAGCTTTTCCAGCAACTTTGTTTTTGTTCTTGATTTACAGCATCCGCAATTCTTTTGGTTTTTAACTGTCAAGTCTAGATATATTATCTCCATGAAGAATTTTTTAATCATTTGCCTAAGAGATGTGAAAGCTTTGTGCTAGATTTAAAGGGGATGAGTTTTAGGTGAACTGATCACTTGCAATGTTTTAATTTGCATGCTACATCTACAGGAGGAACTTGACGTTACCAAGTCTGAAATGAAATGGCGATTCCGAGAAAAAAAAACAATAAACTTTGCAGTTATGCAACAACAAATATAACGACAATAAATATAAAGACAAAGTGCAGCAAGATAGTTAACATTCCAACATTCAGAAGGTCTCAAGTGTTATTTCAAGGCTTCCTGTCATTATTTCGTACATCGCACAGGCCTGAACTCCGATGTCTACAGTCGGTCTTATACATTAATAGGCGTAAACTTAGTTTGAAGATGAAGGATTGCAATAAAATATAACGTGTGACTGTCCTGAGAGCTGTTTACACGATAGCAATAACAGCAAAATTCTTGTTCACTGCAATGGAAATAATGCATCAGTGTCAAAGTTGGAATTTATGAATTGTTCAGGAAATTTAGATGGTTATTCCCAGACTCTAAAATTTGTATCGTGTCCGACATTACAACCTGGTTAACAACGAAAACGCCCACTTGAAATGCCATTATTTAGAATATAACTGATGCTCACTTTACTATGAAACGTAAAATTGAGTTGAAAATGCATTTCATTATGGAAAAAAGTCGCAGCACCTTCAAATTTCTTAAAACCGTTTCTAAATAAGATACAAAAAAAGGATAACATGAAACCAGTGAGTCTTACTTGAATCTACCCCCGCAGTGCTGACACTGTTCGCCGACCCATCCTTGGTCACAGATGCAGCTCCCATTAACACATCTCCCGTAGATACACGGCGTCTTGTCGCAGTCTCGGCAAAGCCCCATACGGGCCGACACCACCAGGTAGAGGAGAGCATAGCAGATACCGGAGCGGTAAGGATCCGGACTGTCCCGGGCTGCTACCGCCAAGGCCCCTTTACTCCAGCTCAAGCGGTTCAATCCTGGACCGGTTTGCGGGTTTCCACCGCCGTTCGCAGCCGCCATTTTAACCTGGTGTATTTCAGATAACACAGCCCTCCAACCCCTCCCACCCCAAAAAAAATTCCCTCCCCTCGACACAACTTAGACCCCAGCCCCCAAACCAATCCAGCCGGGACTCTTTCCTCGATAAAAGAAACTGTCCACCACCAAAAGCCAGGGAACTTTTAAAATAAAAACAATTGTTTGAATATAGGATTTTTTAAGTTGTTAAAAATATTTTAAAACGATTTTGCCCTTCTAAGCAAGAAATACAATTATCTTCTATATTTTTATTTTAATCTTTTTGAAAGATTAAAAATAGAAACCAACGCTTAACTAGATTAAAGAGACTTCAGGTGAACCACTGAGCTTTTAAAACGTCTGCAAAAAGTCAACCAAGATGTACTGAGGGTAATAAGTGCCGAGACGAGGGGAACTCCAAGTCTGTTCATTATGACGGAATTCTAGCTATCCATTTGTATAGCCTTTCAAAATGAAAACAGGAAAAAACCACTTCGGCTGTTCTGTTTTTTTTGGCTGGGTAAAGCCACCATCCTTTACAACCCCGGTCAACTAACCGGGAGCGTAGTGTTCAGTTGCCCGGCTCCGGCTCCGGCTCCAGAACTTTCTCCCCCTCCTCGAGCTGCCACAAAGCTGTTAATTAAAGGGGCAGTGCATGGAGAATTGCGCATGTGCGATTACCAGTAAACAATAAAAAAACTCTTCCATCGTGACACTGCATTCCCTTTTATGACTCTCCTCAAAACAATGTTGTTAGGACGCCTGAGTGATCGCCCTTCTTTCATTTAAAAGCCACATCTTGAAAACATTTTTGTTTTAATTCTGATAGTGTATTTTTTTCAAGACTTATTTGCTCAACTAAATTTTCAATCAGCATCAAAGAAGTTCCGCAATGTGTTATCAGGACCACTGTTTTACATTGGCTTGAGTTAGTTGTTTCTTTGTTTCATTAATTGGGTTTGCAAGGTTCTTGGAGATTTCAGCAGAAGCGGGGAGCGGCTTGCTGTGTTTTAAAGTATTGTCGGGATTGCTGGATTTCGATGACTATAAAGGAAAAACTCGCATTTCGTGATTCATTACACCATGATGTCCCAAAGTGTTTCCCATCCAACGAAGTAAGTTTGTCTTTGTTGGCGTAATGTAGGAATGTTAATTTGGGACATTTCTACAGCATGACTTCAACTACAAGAGCAAGATGTGAGTGTTAAATTAATGATGCCACTGTTTGTAAATAGCAACCAAACTTCTAGATTCTGGGGCATGAGGGATTAAGGTATCACTGGGAGTCATGGGGAGTGTCATGTTAATTTTAGCCACCCTGGGTTGAGATCTAGGAGAATTCATTTATCTTTCAGTTCTGGAACCATTACAGTTTTCATTTCAGCTCCGAAAGGTTTGTAAAGTATATAAATATGACAGCAGCCAGCAATAGGTCACAATAACTCTCTATCAAAACATAGGCATTCTTTCTCCAGCATTCATCCTCAAACACACAGTTCATGACAACACATTAAAGAACAATTAGAGATGCAAATCAAAATTGGAAACTAAATATTTAGAGGTATATGACTTTTCAAAAGGACAGACAAGAAGGAAAAGAAATTTGGGTAGCTTTGTTAGTATGAAATAGTTTGTTAGTAAACCGGCAAGAAATGATCTTGCATATAGAATCCAAATGGGTTAAGGTAAAAACTAACAAGGGGAAGAAGTCACTGATGGGCATGGTCTATTGACCTCCTAACTGTAACTGTTCTGCAGGACAGAAAATAAATCAAGAGATAATGAGGGCAAGTGAAAGCGACAATTCACTAAATATGGGTGACCTTAGTTTTCTTGCAGAAGGGCAAAATCAAATAGGCAAAGATAGCCATGAGGAAGAATTGGTAGAATATATTCAAGACAGTTTTCTGGAACAATATGTTGTGGATTTAACCAGGGATCAGGCTGTTTTGGATTTCGTAGTGTGTAATGGTAATGAGGCAGGTTAAACAAATGACTTCAGTGTAAAAAATTCCCTAGGGAATAATGACCATAACACGATAGAATTTAGCATTCAATTTGTGATTAAGAAACGTGGGTCATAAAACAACTATATTAAACTTAAATAAGGGTAATTACTCAGGGATAAGGATTGAGTTGACTGAAGTGAATTTGAAACAGTTTAGCAGAAACAGTGGTTGAAAAACAATGGCAAATATTTATGAAAATAGTTCATGACTGACAGCAAAGCTACATCCCAGTAAGGAAGAAGGATTCTAGAAAGGGAATAAACCAACTGTGGTTTACAAAGGAATTTAAGAATAGTAACAAATTGAAAGAAAAAACATACAATATGGCAAAGACTTGTAGTAAACCAGAGTATTAGGCAAGTTTTAAAAGCCAACAAAAGATGACTAAAACAAAAGAGGGAGGAAATAAACTGACGGCAAACTACAAACTAATACAAACATGAGCAGTAAGAGCTTTTTCAGGTATATATAAAGGAAAAGAGAGACCAAAGAGAATAGGTAATTTAGAGCATGAGACTGGGGAAATGATGATGGAGAACCAAACAACAAAAGAAGAACAAATAACAATACAACACAGGAGTAAGTATTCAAGCAGGAATTTCATCTACAGTAGTGGTCTTGTTGGTTTACTGCAGTCAGATGCCCTCTTCAACCTCATGTTCTACTGCAATTGTGGTAATGTGGTGGCTGCACAGCATGTTTTTGAATGTGGTCAAGACCATCTATTTCAGCCACAAAGTCTTGGTTGAGGATATCCTGGAAGTGCTCCTTCCAATGAATGCTAACTGCCTCTCTGTCCTTAATATGCACAATTACGATCTTAGCTCTAAATGGGGTAGACCCTTGAGTGTTCATGCTATAAATGTTCTTAATTGTGCTGAAGAATCTACGCGTCATGGTTTTTGGTGACTTGCTAGACTTCCTATGGTGCTTCCACCAGCATCATGACTCTTTAAGTCACTTTTTTTGTTGGACCTCAGCCTTCATTTGTCTATAGACCTGCTTTCTTCTATTTGTATTTTTGTGATACTTTTAGTTCAGGAGCATCTTGTGGTTGAAATTTAGGAGTTTCTAGATCTCCTAGTCATTCTTGTCAAACTAGCCTTGATGTTTCCTGATAGAGAAACCTGGGGTGTCCTTACAGGTGTTGCTTATGATGGATTTAAGGTTAGACTAGGTTCTGTGGATGTTCTGTGGTTCCTTTAATTGACCTTTGCAATGGTGACTGGAGGCACTGACTGAGTTGACCTTCTTTACAGAGTCCTGGAATCCCAAGATATTGAATTTCCTGTGGCAGTATTTCTGCTACCATTGCCATTCTTTGGCCATGCTAATGGGCTTAGTAGATCAGATTAGACAATGATTGATCCAGCAGTTGTCAGCTCCTGCCATGACACAGTTGATGCAAACATCCTATTTTCCGTCACTCGGGTGATGATGTAGTCAAGCAAGTGCCAATGTCTAGAGCAAAGGTGTTGCCATGAGGTCTTGTGCTTGACTCTGATGAAATAGAGTGTTTGTTATGACCAAGTCATCCTTGAGGCATTTCATCAGGAGGAAGATTTTGTTGGTTTTTACCTTCCCTGGGCCTTCCTTTCCAATTACACCTTGCCAAAACTTTGTGTTCCTCCCAACTCTGGCATCAAATGCTCCAAAAAAAATGAGCTTGACTTCCTTTGGAACACAGGCAATGGCTGATCAAGACTGAAGTAGAATTCCTTTTTGACGTTTTGAGGTTTTGGTATATGGACTGTTGGTTGTAGTGTACTATCTTAGGTTGAAGGTGAACTAAAGGGTCATAAGACATTTGATTGTCCAATAGTGGGGAATGAGACAGTCAACTAGTTCATTTTTAAAAGTGAAACCAACTCCGTAGACTCGGGCTTATCCAGATATACCATTACAGAACGTGTAACCACCACCTTGTTCTTTGAGCTGACCTTCTACTACTCATTCAGGTCTGTGGCTTTTGGTATTATCCCCAAGGATCCTGACATTCCGGGTCAAAAACTTCATTTTGAGGAAGTGGAAAATGCCTTTAAAGTATTTTTTATCTTGAGCTGCCTGAGTATCATGGCCATGATGGCAGCTGTCTAAGCTTGCATGGCAGCTTAGTTTAGGTTTCATGATCTTAGCGGAACCTTTCACTCCTACATTGTGTTTCTTCCGCTCATGTTGCAATGGAGGTTGACATAGAAGCCAGCAGACAGTGCATCTCGGTCAGTTCCTCAAATGTTATCATGTGGTTAACTGCCACTTCCAAGGCTCATATGGCCTCAATGGTCTACATAAAGTTAGAATTGGACTCATCCATGTTTTTTGATAGTGACAAGAGACAAGTCTGCTGAAGACCAAACATCTTTGTGTGCCTTGTTATCAACATTCATCTGTATGTCACCCTTTTAAGTTCTTATCTGAGTTCACTGTGGCAGAACGCCTCTGTGCCTTTGCCTTCCAATTAGCTGACACACAAACTATCTTCCTCCCCCATGCAGGCTGCAGCTTATGTATGCTTAGTATTTCAACACATGCAAATTCTGACTATGAACTAACTTTTTGATTTATGCATTGTCAGAATCTGACCTTGAGGTTGCAAGTATCAGATCAAGTGGTGGTACCTTTTCATCAGCTTTGTGATGTCATTCTTGCCCTTCCTTGTGTGCTGCTATAGCTGGGAAGATGGAAGTTCTTGGGTATTTCAAGCAGAAAATAAGAAGGAGAGAGTGCAGGTGAGAAAACATTGGTGGGGATGGAAGCAAGAGATCCATGATCTCACAATCAGCAGTACACATTTCATGCCAGATGTAAGATGAATGCAAGGTGAAAGTTGAGAAGTAGCATTAAGCAGGATCAAATCATCCTCAAGTGTTTCCATCATTAGGTTTATTTTGCAGCTGGCCCCTGTGTTGGGACACTATCACCTTCATACGACCCAGAACTTTCAGACTTACCTGACCCCTCCCAATTCTGCTGTAGTTGCTATGATTGTGTGCAACCTTGTCTTGCAAGAAAAAGGGAA